TATATATATTTCTTAGTGTTACTATAAGCAGTAAGTGGATATTGTCAATTTGGGGGTGGGGTGGGGACTCATAGTATCTACTCATGAGCATTGCAAGGATTAGGAGTTAAAATTCTTATGATGCTGCAATTAAGTGTTAGCTGTTATTATTTCAAGAAGTCTTTCTCATCCACAGGTATACCATCCTTGAAGCACCTACACATTCCTTCACCCAAGGTCACAAACATGGAGGAATCTGGTAAGTGGAGACCAATACCAACTTCCCACTCTCATCCCAAGTCAGGAATCACTCAATATATAATGGCTTATAGGATGTTCCCTTATGTAACACAGGCTTAAAAAGGGATTGGGGATAGCTGGGTGTGGTGGCACATGCCTTTAATCCCAGCACTCGGGAGGCAGAGGCAGGCAGATCTCTGTGAGTTTGAGGCCAGCCTGGTCTACATAGTGAGTTCCAGGACAGCTGGGGCTACAGGGAGACCCTGTCTCAAAAAGACAAAACCAGTACCATCACGGAATATACAAAAAGACAAAAAAAGGAATTGGGGGACTGGAGAGATGGCTCAGTGGTTAAGAGCACTGGCTACTCTTGCAGAGGAGCCCGGTTTAGTTCCAAGCATCAACATGGAGGCTAACAAACTTCTGTAACTTCAGTTCTAAGGAATTCAACACCCTTTTCTGGCCTCTGTGGGTTTGCACTCATGTGGTGTACTTACATACTTGCAGGCAAAACATTCATACACATAAAATAAAAATAAATAAATTTAAAAAATTTAAAGTGGTTGCTCTAAGCCAGAAACAGGAGCAGAGGTACACCTTAAAACTCTGGTTCTAAACTGTTCAATTTGCTCAACTTCTGCCTCTCCCTTCAACCTGCCTGTTCCAGCCAGGCGTGGTGGTACATGCCTTTAATCCCAACACTCCGGAGGCAGAGGCGGGGGGGATCTCTGCAAGTTCAAGGCCAGCCTGGTCTACATAGTGAGTTCCAGGCCAGCTGGGGCTACAGGGAGACCTTGTCTCAGAAAGATGCCCCCCCCCAAATCAGCCTGCCTGTTCCATCCATTTGACCAATGAGTGCTTCTTCCCAGCTGAGTGACCATGGACCAGTCACCTAAACCCTGACAGATACTGCCCCAATACTATGAAATAGGTATTACTCTTGACCTCATTTTGAAGATGAGGAAAGCAAGAGCTGCAACATCTTTATATAATGGCACACAACTGGTATGGGGACAGTTAAACAGAATATCTTTGCAAGTGGCCCTGGCAGTACCCTGCATGAAGTGGGTATTTAGTATATTGCCACTACTTCTCTCAGAATTATTCCTTTCTTTTTTTTAGACAGGGTCTCACTATGTGGCGCTGGCCAGACTGGAAATGCTAGGTAGACCAAGCTGACCTTGAACTCACAGAGATCCACCTGCCTCTGCTTCCTGAGTGCTGGGATTAAAGACATGCACCACCATCCCTGGCTCTTTAAAAATATTATTACTTTATTATTATTATTATTATTATTATTATTGCTGAGGTTGTTGTTGTTAAAAATATTTACTTTATTATTATTATTATTATTATTATTATTGCTGATGTTGTTGTTGTTGGTGGTGGTGGTGGTGTGTGTGTGTGTGTGTGTGTGTGTGCATGGGCACCGGTGCCATGGTGCAGATGTGGAGGCGTGAGGTCGTCGGTTCTCTCCTTACAGGGATCAAACTCAGGGCACTAGGCTTGCAGGCAAGAACCTTTACCTGCTTAGCCATCTGACAGGTCCTTGTCCCTATTTCTCTTAGCAGAATGATTGCACAGGTGTCCAGATGCCCTCTGGGCTAGGCGGCCATCCAGCCTGCAGGCCATCACATCACATGAGCCTGTACTATCTTTAGCCAGGGAGGTATTTATATACCCCAGGGAAGTTTTTTGTTTTCCGCCTCGGGGGGAGCCCCAGAGTCAGTGGCCCCAGGCCCCCCAGAGGCAGCAGCCTCCGCCCCTCTGGCTCATCATGCCCCGGGGGCCAGAGCTCCCGGTGCAGGTCTGGGTGGACGGCCAGCTCTTCCAGGCTGAGCAGGCTCTCCTGGTGGAGCACTGCGGATTCTTCCGCGGGCTCTTCCGCTCGGGCATGCAGGAGGCGCGCGCTGCCGAGGTGCGTCTGGGCGCGCTGAGCGCGGCCGGCTTCCGCACCACTCTGCAGGTGCTGCGCGGTGAGCGGCCTGCGCTGGATGCAGACGACGAGCTGCTGCAGGCGGTGGAGTGCGCCGCCTTCCTGCAGGCGCCTGCGCTGGCGCGCTTCCTGGAGCACAGCCTCACGTCGGACAACTGCTCGCTGCTGTGCGACGCGGCCGCCGCCTTCGGCCTGTGCGACGTGCTCCATAGCGCGGCGCTCTTCATCCGCGACGGCGCGCAAGAGCTGGTGGCTGAGCTGGAGCTGCCCGAGGCCCGCGCCTATGTGGCGGCCCTGAGACCCAGCACCTATGTGGCCGTTAGCACCCACACACCCACGCCCGGCTTCCTGGAGGACGCGTCCCGCACCATGTGCTACCTGGATGAGGAGGAGGACGCGTGGCGCACGCTGGCCGCGCTGCCCCTGGAAGCCAGTACGCTGCTGGCAGGCGTGGCCACCCTGGGCAACAAACTCTACATCGTGGGTGGCGTGTGTGGCGCCAGCAAGGAGGTGGTGGAGCTGGGCTTCTGCTACGACCCGGATGGTGGCACCTGGTGCGAGTTCCCCAGCCCGCACCAGCCGCGCTATGACACTGCCCTGGCCGGCTTCGAAGGCCGCCTCTATGCCATCGGTGGCGAGTTCCAGAGGACGCCTATGAGCTCCGTGGAGTGTTACGACCCGGCCACAGGCTGCTGGAGCTTCGTGGCCGACCTACCACAGCCAGCTACAGGGGTTCCCTGTGCCCAGGCGCGCGGCCGCCTCTTCGTGTGCCTCTGGCGGCCTGCGGACATCACTGCTGTCATGGAATACGTGGCACAGATGGACAAGTGGCTGCCGGTGGCTGAGCTGTGCCGTTCACAGAGCTACGGCCACTGCATGGTGGCCCATCGCGACAGTCTCTACGTGGTGCGCAACGGACCTTCGGATGACTTCTTGCACTGTGCCATCGATTGCCTCAACCTGGTCACGGGCCAATGGTCGTCATTACCGGGTCAGTTTGTCAACAGCAAGGGAGCACTCTTCACAGCCGTGGTTCGTGGTGACACCGTCTATACTGTCAACCGGGTGTCCACGCTGGTCTATGCCATTGAGGACGGCACCTGGAGGCTGCTCCGAGAGCAGGCTGGCTTTCCCAGGCCGGGGTCCTTGCAGACCTTTCTCCTGAGGCTACCCCCTGGTGCTACTGGGCCTGTGGCTACTGCCTTGCCAGAGCTGTGAGCCCCGAATGACTTCTGAAGACATGGAGTCTTCATGAACCCTGGCTGTGTGTGTGGCTGGACTGAAGATCTGCTGGGAACCCCTGTTTTCTTATTGGGACACTCAGATCTCTGCCTGCTGGTGGTGTGAATAGTCCAAGAAGTTCTGAACAAGGGTGACGCTGAGGTCTGAGTCCTCCAATCTCTTGGGCACTGAAAGCTGGTGGGTCACAATGTCAGGAGAGGGGTGGGGGCATTGGATTTGATGGATCCAGGCTTATAAGTGAATGAGCTAACAATGGGTGTGGCCAAGAGTGGGTTAAGTGATGTTTAAACAATTATACATATGTGTCTCCATTCACAAATTGAAAACAACATGCTGATTAAAGTCAGGAGTGGTGGCAGTGCTCTGGAGGCAGAGGCAGGTGGATCTCTGTGAGATTGAGGCCAGCCTGGTCTACATAGTGAGTTTTAGGCCAGCTGGGGCTACAGGGAGACCCTGTCTGGAAACAAAAGAACAAACCATCCACAGTATAATGAGATTACTAAAGGAATCAGCAGGGCAAAGGGGGAGTGAAAAGGAAAGAACAGAAGACCAGGAAGGAGGGTGTAACAAATGGCACAGAAATGGGGATACTGTCTGGAGTGGGAGATTCAGACCATGGAGTCTGAGAGCTCCCAGAGGAGAGTGAGACAAGGCTGGAGCAGACAGGAAGGGTCACTGTAAGCTCAACCTTTAAGGCAGAGCAGCTGGAGATGGAGTCATTTAGGGAGCGGGTGAGGCTAGACTGACTTGGAGCTGATAGAATAGAGCCGAGCCTAGGGCAAGACTATAGGAGGAAGCATCGATTCTCTACAGCTTTTAGGGACTGGAATGTAAAGTGAGGACTCAGGTGTAAACCCCAGTCATTTTTGCCATCTTGTGGGGACAGTAGACTGTTAACTTCCATGACTTTGGGTCACTCAAGGTATAAGGAGCCCAGTCTTGCTTATCTCTTTGTATGCTTTCCTCTACTGTTCTGGGTTCCATCTGTCCTCCTAGCTCCTGCTCTGGCCAGCCTCTTCCTGTCAGCTTCGTGCCCACCTCCTCTTTGCAGGATTGGCTGATCCAGCTCTTGTTTTCCTTGGCTGCCTGCTCTGCTCATTAGTCCCTTGGCTGTGACATTCCACATTGTATGTACAGCCATACCAGTATACAAATAGTAAGGGCAGAGGTCCCATGCTGTTAACTGGCTCAAGCATTGTCCTTGCTTGTAGAATAAAATGATGTCTTACAAGAACCAGTTAGGGATCTGATGCTGACCTGTGTTTTTAAACATCTCCAGGACAGATGCATGTCCAAGGCCTCCACTCTATCCATGTCCTTGGGCAGACTTCTCTCAGTGGTCCTGAATGGTCTCCATCCTCCAGGACCCAAAGCTCATGGGAAACTCTGGCATCATCAGAAGTGGAGAACACAACATGGCATTTCCTGGGTATGGAGCCTGGTATCAGGGCTGCCTCTTGCTACCTCTGTCCCAGACCTGGAGTGTGGTGCCTTCAGGAGCCTTCCAGCCTTGGAATAACCTAGTCTGATGACTCATACCAGCAAACCCTGGCTTTTGCACCCTGTGAATGCTGGGCAAAGCATTTTCGTAACTCTCCTCCTCTGGACTGACCTCAGTCTGGGAGTTGGGTACCTCCCTATGACAGTTGAGGTCTGTCAAGTTCAGAAGCTGACTGAATGGCCCAAAGCTACACTGTCTAGCACAGCCCCTCGCTTACGGTTCTCTCAAAGAATGTATATACACATACACACATCTTTATCATGAGTTAAAGACATTTAATTCATTAATAAGGAAACTAGAAAAATACAAAGCTGCTTGGATGATCATGAGAGATGGAGATTTGTATATTGAATTGACGAAGATGTGATGAAATAAGTTTGTCAGAGATAAATCTGGTTCATGTCTTTTGGTGTAGTAAAATTTTTATAGTTCTGTCCTGGAGGAAAAAAATCCTTTGCATCTTCACGTACATGCACAATCAGACTCATGGATGTACCCCCACAGGTTAACAAAGGACCTAACAATGTCTGGGCACACAGACCTCTATAATTAACTCCTCACTGTTCTGCTCTGCCCCAGAGTGACGCTAAAAGGATCCATAGTCCTCCCTTGGCTCTACTTTCAAATGATGGAGAATTTTTAATAGCTTGGAACACTCCTCTTTTCTCATACCTCCTGATCAATGCTGAACACATGCCATTTTCGGCCTTAAGGTCTGTCAGCTTATAGGTTCTTTCTCAACTCACTGGACTCTCTGGGTTTGGCTCAGATAGGCCTGCTGTACTTAGTCTCTGTGCTCTGTGTATTGGTTGTTGCTCATCAAGAGCAGCACTTTCTTGCAGATGTCTTTTTTGCATAGCAATGACAATACAGTAGTCACACAGAATTTTAAAATAAGTGTTGACTTATTTGAATGTTTAAGAATTTTAAGCAAACCTAGGAGATAGCTCACTTGAGAGTGCTTACCTTGCAAGCATGAGTACCTCAGTTCAATCTACAAAATCTATATAACAAAAAAAGCCAACAACTAATGAAGGTAAAGAAGGGGGCTGCAAAGATAGTTTAGTGTTTGCTGTGTAAGTGCAAGGACCTGAGTTCCATCCCCAGGATCCACATTAAAAATCTGGTCCAGGGCTGGAGAGATGGCTCAGTGGTTAAAAGTATTGGCTGCTCTTCTAGAGGACCCAGGTACAGTTCCCAGCACCCACATGACCACTAACAACCGCCTGTAACTCCAGTTCCAAGGGATCCACCCTATTTTTCTGGCTTCCACATCATTGCACCACACAAGTGTACTTACATATATGCAGGCAAAACACTCATACACATAATTTTTTCTATTTTTAAGTATTTTATTTATTATTTTTATTTTCTGTGTATGAGTGTATTGCCTTGTATGTAGGTAAGTGCACCTGTGTTGTGCAATGCCCTTGGAGGTCAGAAGAGGCCATCAGACCCCCTGGAACTGAAGTTACAGACAGTTGTTAGCTGCCATGTGGGTTCTGGGATTCGAACCCGGGTCTTCTGCAAGAACAACCGGGTTCTTAACCACTGAGCCATCTTTCCAGCCATCTTTCCAGATGGTGGCACACATCTTTAATCCCAGCACTTGGGAGGTAGAGGCAGGCGGATCTCTGTGAGTTTGAGGCCAGCCTGGTCTACATATTGAGTTCCAGGCAAGCTGGGGTTACAGAGAGACCCTGTTTCAAAAAAAACCTAATCAAAAAACTGGGTATGATGACACGTGCTTGTAATCTCAGCTCTGGGGAGGTAGATGCAGTTGAGTCCCTGAGGCTCCCTGGTCAGCCAGCGTAGCCTACTTGGTGAATTCCAGGCCAGTAAGAGATCCTGTCTCAGAAAAAAAAAAAAAAAAAAGAAGATGGACAGTGTCTGAGGAAAACACCTGAGATTGTCCTCTGGCTTCCACACACCCACCTACACCTGCTTGCCCATGTGCGCGCGCATGCGCGCGCACACACACACACTCACACATTTTAAGTAGTAGATAGCTACTCCTCACCCTCCTGCTCACATGACTGCAAGAGGCACACTAGGAAGTAGCTGGGGCATATGCTTGTTTTCTGTACTACATCTGTTTGGCTGATGTTCTGAGATGGACGTGCTGTTGTTGACAGTCTTAACATGTCCCCTTCTACCCTACTGTCTGCATCCCCACCTCCTTTTGGGGGTTTACCCATTCCCCTGGACCCAGCCCCTTCTCCCTCTCCTGGGTTCTCTTTCAGGTCTTCTTAGGAGATAGTGACTCACTTCAGAAAAGGAGTCCACTGATATGTGTGTACTTTCACAGATACCTCCCTCCCTCTCAGGCTGCTGGGAAAAGATTTCCTAACCCAACTCATCTTCTCCTCTGGCCTCAGTCTTCAGATTTCTTGTATCCCCACCCATAGCCAGTACCTGCCTCTATTGCCTGCCACCCTCACTCTGGGCAGAGATGGTTTCTGTGTCTTATTTGCAGGGGAGGAAGCTAGCAGAAACCTAACAAGACTCATTCAAAGTCACATAGCCAGTTAGGTGGAAAAGCAGAGACAAACCCAGGATTTGGGCTCCCTCAGCCTCTCATACCCAGGCATTTAGACTTAACTATTACAAGAAGGTTTGGGCACACAAAACCAGGTACAGGTGGGAAAATTCAGACAGCTACTGAGCTCAATGGGCTGGGTTTCCAGTTCAGAGACTGACCCAGAAATTGGGAGATGAGGGAAGGAGGAGGAAAGGAGGAAGGAAGCAGAAGGATAGAGGGAGGGAATGGAGAGAAAGGTATATATTAAAGCAATAGGCCACCCTGCAGACTTACTTTCTTACAGTTATTTTTAGTGTTTCACATACTTTCTCCTGCACCCCATTTTCTTTATGACACCTGCCTGACAGAGGCTGGAAAGCTAGCCCTTCACCCCTATTTCCTTGCTGGGCTTCAGCCTGTTCCCATGGCAACCAGAGTCATTCTGAGAGCTTCCATTCAGACATGGTATTCCAGGCAGAGCCTTGGGAGGGGCTTCTCACCCAAGCCAGGGTAAGCGGAGGCCTTTCAGGCTCTGCCCACCCTAACTGTATGTCTTTCCACTCCTCACTTGACCTCACTGTGTTCAAACACAAGACACACTCCAGCTCCAGGCATTGGACAGTTTCCCTCTGCCTGGCATGCCTCCCTTGCTTAGCCACCAGGTTCACTGCTCTGCCTCCTGTGGGTCTTTGCTCAGGTGTCACTTAATTCCTCACTACCTTCCCCTTACTCTGCCTTCCTGGCTCCTTCTTCCGACTTCTTTTTCTTTTTAAAAGAGATTTATTTTTATTTATGTAGTTATTTTATTTTGAGATAGGGTCTTACTATGTAGCCCTGGTGAGCCTGGAACTCTCTATGTAGACCAGGCTGGCCTCAGACTCACAGAGATCTGCCTGCCTCTGCCTCCTGAGTGCTGGGATTAAAGGCATGCACCACCACACCCAGCCCAACATT